TTGTGCCGGTAATACTCAGCCACTCGGTAATGCTTGGCTGATAATGTGACACTACTCAGGCCCAGTGCTACTCAGGGACCTTGCAGTGTGTTGGGGGCCACTATGGTGCTGGGGATGGAACTGGAACCCTTAAAGCTATGTCACCAGCCCAAGGTATCCAGATATCTACTAAAGTTTTATTTCTTGGCATGCTTGGTTCTTGACCCAGGTGGATAAACACACCTCCAGGCCAGCCTTTCCCTGGAGATCTCAATGACATCAATAGTCTTGACCCAGGAATCTTGTTAGCATAAACTATAATGTAGTCTTGAGGGCCCTATCATAAATTATAAAAATACTCAAGATTACTGAGACCTCCCGGAGTTTTGGGACAAAACTCTTTGATGATATCAAAGTAATTCCTTACTATTCTGAAATAAAGCGGGTGGCACAAATTGGGGCACTTGTTTATAGAGACCTTTATACACTCATTTTTAATGTCATAAAATCTTGTCAAATTATTCTGAACGAAATATGACTTAGGGCTAGAAAACATGTTTATGAATCTCATACAATACTATCATGTGGAGCATGTGGAGTATTTAATCTTATATTTAACAACAACTAGTAAATGCTTATCTATTTTAATGAGCAATTTTGTAAGGTTCAGATGAAGAAATAAGGGAATAGACAGTATTAAATCATGATAAACACTCGGCCTTGGATTGAAAAACAGATTACCAAGCAAAGGGGGGGAGTTGGGGACTAGAAGTGACAGATATGCGTTGGCAGAGTGTCACTTTGCCAGTAGTAAATACTATAACTATAACAAAATCATAAACATTAATACTATTGTTGCCTAAACTATAAAACTTCTAAATATGTAGTTTTTATTTATGCTGTATATTAGTGTATAGTTTTGAGATTATTTTAAATGACAACTAATCTTTTTAAGAAAAAGTTAATAGACTAAAACTTATGAATAGTTTTTTGTGTTGTTTGGTGTTTGGGTCACTCCTGCCTTTGTTCAGGGATCACTTTTGGTATACCGGAGGACTTTGTGCAGTACCAGGGCTAGAACTTGGATCAGATGCATACAAGGCAAATGGCCTAGACAAGTACGATCACTCTGGCCCCTAATCTTGTTTCTTTAAGAATACTTAGCTTTGGTCATTGACTTTCTCACCCAAAGAATTTCACTTCTTTCCAAAGTGCTTCTCGATCTGTTGTCATGAACTTTTGAAACCCTGGTTCTTGCCTTTTTTTCCAGGCCCAATTCTTGGCCTTCTTATTAATTTGGGAGCTCCCAATATTCTTTCAAAGGCATCTGAGCTTGTTAGCCAATGCTAGTTTCTGTTGACTGTAACTAAGAATCCCAACTGACATATCAAACCCTCGAAGTAAAAATGGTGACTATTCACAACCCTAAATCTCATATCCACAAATAAATGGGCCAAAAAAAGAGCTTAGCAGATCTCTCATGTGAGGGGGCTGAGCTTTGATCGCTGGCACTGTTGGGAGAAACCCCTGAGCACCATCTGTTGCAACGAAAATAACCAAACTGAACGACAAAATACAAAACCACAAGTTTAGACACATTAAGCCTTTCAAACTGGCCTCCCTTGTTTGCTGTTGCAGCTTTTCTGGCAAAATCTGGGACACTGTACATTCAGTATGTTAAATTTCGCTTTAATACATTGCTTCTAACAGCACTCACCAAAACTGCAATTACCTTGTTTTGTAACTGTGTCCCCCAGTTTGTCCCCTGCATGCAGACAAGCGGTATCATTTCTGATGTATTCTCCATGTCTAGTAAAGGTTATAATTGTAGGTGGTCAAAGGATTTTTTAATAATAATCTGTTAATACAGACATGCGGGTCCCGGGACTGAGATCTCCAAGCCTGCTCGGATCGAAGCTGAGCATCCTCCACCCAGATCCTCCATCTTCCAGTAGGCAGGGGTCACACCCACCAACTGCCCCCCAGCGCTGTGTAATCCATCAATGGCCAAGACCCAGAGACTATAAAACCCAGCTCTCGAAAGCTCCTGAATCTTATTATCATATTCTTACTTTGGACAACCTGGTAGGCTACAGGTTGTAACCTGCCCACAGGGAAGAGTCTGGCAAACTCCCCGTGGCATACCCAATATGTCAAATACCAGTAACAATGATGGGTCTTATTCTCCGAACCCTGAAAGAGCCTTGAATATGGCACTTTTTAAAATCTCAGGGCTAGGACGAAGGAGGCGTTACTGGTGCCTGCTCGAGGCAATTAACGAATAACGAATGATCGTAATCTGTTAATGAAGATGGGAGATGGATGTAACTGGATGAAGTATAATTGTATGGGGCTATGAAAAGTTAAAAGTATATTGTTACACAATAAATTACCTTAGAATTACCTTGATATCCATCAAAGTTAAGTTCCTGGGCTGGGAAGATAGTACAGGACTTGGGGTGTGTGCCCTGTATGTACCTAAACCAGGTTTGAAGTCCAGCATCACATGGCCTGAACATCTGGTATAGGTTGCGAGGTCCCCTAGCACTGCCAGTATGCCCTGGTAATCCTGTACTACTGCTGTGTTCTCAAGCCTGAACTAACAGTCCTCAGGTATTGTGGGGAGTGGCTCCCTGCCCCTTTGAGATCGTTTCCGGAGATTTTTTCTTTTTGGGTCACACCTGGTGGCCCACAGGGGTTACTCCTGGCTCATGCACTCAGGAACTACTCCTGGCAGTGCTCAGGGGACCATATGGGATGCTGGAAATTGAACCCAGGTTGGCCATGTACAATGCAAATGCCCTATGCCCCCTGTGCTATCGCTCCAGTCCTCTGGGGAATTTAATTTTTAAGAAATAGTACAGTTGCCTTGTACACAGCTAACCTCAGCTTGATCCCGAGAACCCAATATAGTCCTCCAAATGCCAACCTGAGCACTACTGGGTGTGGCCCCAAAATCAAAACCAAAACTAAATAAAATGAATACTCCCCAAAGCAGAACTTCTTATATTTCTCTAAACATCACATTTGTAATTCAACTAAAATACTTTGTTAGCAAAAGTGTTTTCAAGTGATAAGTTTATTTGGTGATGTAAAGGTATAATCAAGAGCTGGGGGATAGGCAGTTGGGATGGAGAAGGGACCACCAAGTTAATGATGGAGGGATTGCTTGAGATGGGAGATGTGTGCTGAAAGTAGACTAAGGACCAAACATGATGGCCCGTCAGTATCTGTGTTGCAAACCATAAGGCTCAAAAGTAAAGAGAGTAAGAAGGAAGGTGCCAGCCACAGAGGCAGGGGGCAGGATGGGGTTGGGGTGGCTGGAGGGATACTGGGGACATCGGTGGTGGAAAATGGACACTGGTGGAGGGATGAGTGTTTGATCATTGTATGACTGAAACTCAATCATGAAAGCTTTGTAACTGTATATCATGGTGATTCAATTAAAAAAAACTTTTAAAAAAGTGTTGAATCAGGCTAGAATGCCTTCTTTCCATGAAATTTGTTAATTCTAGTAAATAGAAACAAGGAAGAGAAAATCATATTTTTAACATTCTGAAATTAAACATTTTAAAATTTTCAAACTAAAAAGTTGCAGGAATAGTAGAAAGAACTCACATTTTTGTAGCTGTGTAGCATGACCAAAAAGCTTAGTTACAAATTTTTTTGGGGGGGGGTGGGGGAGGGCGGGATTTGATGGATTTGGTGGGGTTGAGGGGATGCCGGGTCACATTCGGTGGTGGTGCTCAGGGCTTACTCCAGGCTCTGCGCTCAGGGACCACTCCTGGCGGGTCTTGGGGAACTGGGTACCGGAAATCCAACTGGGATCAGCTGCATGCAGGCCTACGCCCTATCCATGTACTAAATCTCTCCAGCCCTTCACAAACGCTTTTATCTCGGTTTCGGAGTCAGGAGATGAAGGCTTTGAGCCGGATGGTCCTCCTGTGAAGGAGCAGAGGTGCCTGGCCCCCCAGCACTGTTGCAAGCCGGGCCGCAGAAGCCCCGCGGGGCTACCGGGACGCTGCAGTAGACTAACGGCCGCTTCGGGGTAGGCGATCTCGCCGGTGGGAAACCCCGGTGCGGGGGACCGAGGCTGGCGAGGATCCGAGTTGGGCTGGCGCGGAGGGAGGGAAACCCTAGCTGGCGGGAGACCGGGCGCGTTTCAAGTCCTCCCCTCAAGTCCGCGCTGCCACGACGCCCAGCCCACACGCGGGGCCCGGCGCGTGGGGCTCCACCCGCGGGGAACCGCACGGGTGAGTCTGTGTGAGCTTATTTTACAAACCACACGCGGGCCACGTCTTGCCATTGGGCGTGGCCAAACACTCAGAACTCCCTCCCTCCTCGGGTTAGCGTCTTTCTCAATGAAACAGCTGGTCTCCTAGGGCAGTTGTCCATTTCCCCATCCTCTCCAGCAATCCCCCAACATCCCCCTCCACCCCACCCCACCCGCGCGTCATCAAACGGATTCTTTAGGCAATAATAATCCGAAACGGGCCGTGGGCCACAACGCGAGACCGGAAAACGACGTACACTTTTATTGGCAGGAAATTAAAAAAGATCCCCAGGTTGCAGGGCTGCGAGAAACAGGCTGATGCTCGCGTGGAGATCCAGGGAGGGCCCTCGCCGCCGGCAGGACGGGAGAGTTCCTGACAGATGGGCTTCTCTTGACCCCCTCCAGGGTCCGACTCCCTGGGAGCAAACTTTCAACGGTTCTTTTCGGTTTGGGTTCAGACCGACCGGGGAAAGCGCTACTAAGGAAGGAGGCCGCATCCGAGCCGCTGTGCGAGCGTGCACCAACGCCAGCTCCACGCTGGGGTCACTCTCGGAAACCTAAACTTGCACTGTCTCCAGCGGGGACAGGGAGAGCGCGGGCGAGGGAGCCGGCCAGCGGCACCCAGCGCCGCGCGGACACCAGGGCGCAGGGCAGCCTGCGAGCCGGGGCGCCGGGGTGTCACGTGGGCGAGGCGGGGCGGGGCGGGGCGGCACGGCATCACGGGGGCGGGCGGGGCGGGGCGGGGCGGGGCGGCGCGTCGGCCGATCGCACGATGTGACGCGCCGCCCGAGGCAGGCCGGGCCCTCAAGATGGCGGCGGGAGCCCCGAGCGGCTCGGCCCGGCAGTAGTGGCGGGACCGCACTAGCCTCGGGGGCCGGCCGCCCCGGGAGTGGCTGCAGGAGCGCCCGGAATCGAGGATGGTAAAATGACCCAGGGGAAGAAGAAGAAACGGGCCGCGAACCGCAGTATCATGCTGGCCAAGAAGATCATCATTAAGGACGGAGGCACGGTGAGCCGGGGGACCCCGCCGGGGGAGCGGCCCTGGCCCGCGTCCCGCCCGCCCCGCGCCCCGCACCCTCCTCGGCCGGCTTCCGGGCCCCCGGACGCCGCCGCCGCCCCCGGGGCCCGCCGGGCTCCCAGCCCCGGGGCCCCGAGCCGCGGCTCCCGGGCACCGGCCTTCCCGGGCCCGGCCTGCGGCCTCCCGGGCCCGAGCCCTGCGCGCAACCGCTCGCCGCGCCCGCACCTGCCGCCCGGCCCGCGGCCTCGGCCCCACGTGCGGGGCGCCCGGGCTTCGCGGCTCCCCGGCTCCCCGCCGCCCGCCGCGCCTCGGCCGGGCCCTCCCATATGCTGCGGCCGCGGCGGCGGCGGCGGCGCTGCGCGGGCCCCGGAGCTGCCCCAGGTGGGCTCCCCCGCCGGAGCGGGACCCGGGCCGGCCTGAGCGCGGGGCGGCTGCTCGGGGACCAGCAGCCCCCCGAGGGTGTCGGGACGTTTCTCTCGCCAGGAGAAATGCGGCGGAGCGTGGTCGGGAGCTAGGAAGGACGCCCGACCCACGGCCAGACAGTTGTCAGCAGCCTGAACTTTCTGCACCGGGCTGAAGTGACACCCGCAGGGAACGGAAGCCGGGCTGGGCTTTGAGTTTTTCTTTTAATAGAAAATAACTTCATATATATATATATATATATTTTCCTCCTCCATGATGACATTTCTCCGTCGCCCACCGCGCGGGTCTTGCTTGCATGCTTTTGAGGGTCGCGCTTGGAAGTGTGACGTGCGTGGTTCGCTTTTCCCAGAAACGGCGCCGTTCTGGGCCCCGTGGGTTTCTTAGTTGGTCAGAGCCTCCCCGGCAGCCCCAGTGTGACATGTGTTCGTAGGTCACTTCCGAGGATCTGACGGATTCGCGTGAAGTGGACAACTCTGTGCCGACGCTTCCGAACCGTCAGTATGCTAGCCACTGTATGAGAGCCCGGCCCCCGGGTCGCACCGTTGGAAGAATTGTAGTTCATTGCCAGGCTTGCTTATTATTTGCCAGAAAGGAAGGTCCACAATTCAGATTCCGAAGATCTTCTTGTACTTGATTAGTCTGTGCGTTGAGTAAATCAGTTATGAGAAGACCTGGCACTTGACCAGGGCCAGGTTGAGAGCAACGTGGAGAAATCACCGTGAACACTCGTCAGCCGCAGGGGACGTGGTATTTTTCGTGCTTAGAATTCACAGCCAGAAGGCAACAAAAAAGGGTCAGACTGAATCAAAGCCTGGCCGCGGCTTTTAGCATTACTTTCTTTGCCTAAGTAAGGCAATGAATCCGATCAGAAAGCGCACCTTCCAGTTCCTTGCGAAGTTAAGTATGTTACAGCTTGTGGTTTTGTTTAATTCTGTTTACAGCAGATGCCTTGGTTCCGGATCCCGTGAGATCTGCCAGAGGTTGACTTTTACCGTCTTTTAAAATCTCAGTTGCTCTTTAAAGTTGTAGTGAATTCATGGGTTGCTTCTGGACACAAGTTTCGATTTTTTCTTTTTTGTGGTTTTTTTGGTTGTAGTTTGTTTCGGAGGCTCATCACTGAGTGATGCTCAGGGCTTCCTCCTGACTCTGCACTCAGGAATCACTCCTGTTGGTACTCAGGGGACCATCTGGGGTGTCAGGGATTGAACCTGGGTCACCCGCGTGCTATACAAGCACCCTAGCCCCTGTACTATCCCCAGACCCCACAGTTAAAATTTTTTATACCAGTTCTATATGTTTTCAGTGGGCAAACAAAATATAGGCTGCATGCATGGGGGTATTGTCATTTATCATCTGTGTACACTTCTGTAGTATTTTTCCATTCCTAGGACACCAGGCACTCGGAAGAGTATGATCTTTGTTTATGCATCTTTGAGTCCTCTGTAAGTTTAGAATGATTACACATTTAAAGTGATTAAAAATGTGTACTCTAGCACACTCTAAATGATTTTTAATTGTTCTTTTTATTCTTGTATCTAGTCAGGGATTGTGTTCTGTGTCAGGGTAGTTTTTTGTGTTTTTATTTTTTGCCATGTTAAGGGAATAAGATTGCCATTTGGTATTGTTCTGTTCTTCATTTGTCTGTGTGTTTTTAAGGTTCACCAGTGAGTGGGTGGGTTCATTGGAGTCAGGTCCTTAGGCTGAATCCTCTTTCACATCTCTGGACAAGAATGGTACAGCCCTGATCTCCTTCGGTTTTCTACTTAGTGTTGAAGAATTTTAATAAAGTGATCTTGCTTTATTCTGTTAATGACATCTTGATAAAGCCCACTCATCCAATTTTAATGTTTGTAAAATGTAATGATAACTTTCGTCCAACAGATTTATCATAGTTTTTGGCAGTTGTAGGTTAACCCTTCTAAACCATTATCATGAAATACTAACTGGTTTTCTTGAAGTAGGCTCTGAAACCAGAGTCAGGCTTACTAAGATATGAGTAGTACATAATTAAGGCAGATTACACAGAGGTGTGTGGTTCTTTTAACATGGGCCTCTTAACCCTGAAGTTGTTGACAAAATTCTGACTGCATATTTTTCTAGGAGAATACCTCAAAAGATTTGTACTTTCCAAAGTTCAAGAAAGTTTAATTTGCATAAGTGTCAATATTAAATACACATTGTATACTACATTCTGGAGTCACCTACGACCCAGAGAAGGGTGGATAATTTTCCTTATGGGATTTTGATTTTTCTCTCTCTTCCCTCAGCTTTCCTAAATAAAGCTATTTTGCATAGTAAATATTAATCTATTAAATGGCATTTTATTGATCAAAACAGTGACAGTTGATGTGAATTTCCTTTCTTTGAGACGTGTAGGAATACAACTTTTACAAGTTCTAGCATATGAAATGTTTTGATGTCTCTCTTTAGGTGTAAACCTTTTAGGGCAGTCGACTTAAAAATGCATCCTGACATTTTAGAATCCTTCCAGTTTTGTTAAATCATTATCATGTGTCACCAGATTATTTATAACCATATTGTGAGAGGCTAAGAACTAGAATTGTTTACATTAGTGTTTTGTGTAATCAAAACTATACTTTTTCTATGAAAATCATTCTGTGATTTTCAAAAAACTTTCTCATTTCTTAGGAAAGTTTTTTTTTTAAATACAGTTGTGAAACTGAATAATCTGACAAAGTTAAAATATGCAGTTGTTTTAACAAGAGAATGGGTAAAAATGACTTTAAAATTAGATAGAGAACTGGGAATACAGTTCAGTGGCCCTTGGTGTATGAATTTCTTTTCTTTTGGTTTTTGGGTCCATACCTGTTAATGTTTAGGGGTTTCAGAGATTATTCCGGGTGCTGTGCTCAGGGATTACTCCTGGCAGTGCTTCAGGGGCCATATAGGATGCCAGGGATTGAACCCGGGATGGCCATATGCAAGGCATCCACTCTTCCCACTGTACTATCTCTCCAGCTGCTGAACACGTTTTTACTTGCAAGAACCTCAGGTTTGATTCCAAGCACCCTGTGGTCCCCTGAGCACTGTAGCCCCTAAGGACTGTTGGATATAGTCCCCATACAAAAAGACAGTAAATTAGATACAGAACCAGGCATGTGAATTGCTTTGTTGGATGTACCTGAAAAAATACTACTGAGCACTTCATTTGTAGAATGAAATATTCACAGGAGGAAGGCATGAGAGTTTTATTAACTTGATTACAGATAGGAGTCTCAAACCATTTCATTAGTCTATATTCAAATTATGGTTCTTTGCAATCTTTCTTGGATGGGTTGGAGAGGGCTGGGTAGGAGAGTTGCTGCATAGTTCTTTCAGCCCCAGAAGCTACTAGCTGAATAGCTACTGGTTGCTGTGGGGAAGGGTCCGGAGCCAGTCAAAGAGCAGCTGTTCTCTGAAGTCAGGTTCAGGCTGAGGAAGCTTGTCTTGCATGTGGCCACCCTTTTCCATCTCCAGTATCACATATGGTTGCCCAAGCCCACCAGTAATAATAGTTCCTGAGTGCAGAGCCACAAGTGACTCCTGAGCATCTCCAGGTGTGGCCCCAAAACCAAAACAAACAACATTATTACAAGAATAATCGGTGAGAGTACTCTTTTTTCCCATTTTATAGATTTAGGATTCACTTAGTGTTACTGTTTTGTTGCACTCTTTATTTTCGTTCTATATATTCCACTTTTTTCCTGAACCATCTGTAAGTTGTAGAGATCACAGCACTGTCCCTAAACATTCCGAATTTCTTACCTGGGAATCAGGATGTTGCCTTTCCCATATAACCACAATAGTCACCATATTCAGAAAGTTTAATACTAATGAAAATCTGATGTTTGCAATTTCCCAGTTGTCCCAAGTGTACTCAATAGTTGTCTTTTTTCTTTCTTTCTTTCTTTCTTTCTTCTTTTTTTTTTTTTTTTTTTTTTTTTTTTTGCTTTTTGGGTCACACCCGGCAATGCACAGGGGTTACTCCTGGCTCTGCACTCAGGAGTTACTCCTGGCGGTGCTCAGGGGACCATATGGGATGCTGGGAATTGAACCCAGGTCGGCCGCGTGCCAGGCAAACGCCTTACCCACTGTGCTATCTCTCCAGCCCAGTTGTCTTTTTTCTTAATGCAGAATTTAATCAACACATTTAGCTGCCATGTCTCTTTGGTTTCTTTTAATGTAAAAAAGGCATTTTTTGGATAGAGTTGACTAGTGCTTTAAGGACAAACCTAAGTTTGATTTTCATTGTTTTCTCAGATACATCCTAATAAATAGGATTGATTATAATAGCCAGTTACCTGATGGAACTATTTTGTTTTCTGTTGAACCATCCACATAAGCCCCTGGTTTACTGATAAGAATGCAGAGTATTATTGGTCTTATTAGTTTGTGGCGCTGAGGAATAGCTCAGGGGTATAGAGTACCTATTTACAAGTGTAGGGCCACATGCCATCATGTTCTAGCAGGATCCTGGAAGCTCTCTGGGTTTCCCCAATTCTGCATAGCTGTATCGGGACACACCACAGCGGCATGTGTATAAATCCCAGTGAGCATCCCAGTTTAAT